CGTTCACGACAAGCTTCATATTCAACAGCTACGCTACAATACAATTATTTGAGAGAGAGGATAATCATGGGATTAGAGCCTAACCTGTCAAACCAAACCGGTTTCCCAACTAGGGCATCCTGACCTTGAAAGAGCGCGTTGCGATCTGGCCCAGGAAACTGCACAAACCATAAAGGCCTTTCATAACTAAAAATAAGAAGAAAAAGTAGTGAAAAAAATCAGGTGGAGTAAACAGAATCCATCTACTTACCCCATGATTTCCCCGAACACAGCGCCAGCATCTCGGAGATGATGATAAATTGGTGACATGCGAAGATTTCTAGCTGTATGGAACTGATGTGAGTGATACATATTACTATAGGTCATTGCTAAAAATTACCAGTTGAAGAAAAGGAAACCTTTTGCATTATTTTAATACGACCTGCGATCTCCGGCGCGCGTTCCATAAGATACTGTGAATTTGCATGCAGTTCCAGAAATCGGCCCACATCCAGATTTGCTACATCAATTTCTGGGATGCCATCACATATCCAGTTGGCCACCAGATCTCCAAGGCCACCAGCTAGAGAAAGGCCTTGACCATTTAGGCCATTCAACACATAGTATCCGCGAGCCTAGAAATTTACACAGTTAGAAAGGTGCAAAAGCTGAGTCATTGGCTGGTAAAAACGGATCCAACTTTTACCTGGCTGCTGTGGCCAACCGTTGGTGCTTTATCCGGTGTGTACGCCTCCATACCACATATCAAATCTCCATGTTCAATTTCACCAAGCATAGGACATCGATGTAGCAGCTTTTCCAGCGAGAAGCCTAGAATATTTTCAAAAATGAAATAAATATATACAACTTTCCTGACTTCTCGGTGGTCACTCTAAAAAAATATAGTTTGTTGGCTAGATGCCTTCTCTTTTCTGATTTACTTTTTAAGCTTTTTTTAGCTCTCAAAAGCCCTGCCGTGGAAAATAAAAGGCATTTGAATTCTCAAAAAATTTAAAAAAAAATTGGAGCAAGTTCTGTATTGTTGATTCAAAAATGGGTGACGTAAATTATGCATATTACTCTCATCCATACTTACCAAATAAATCCCAGTCACCCTCAGGATGTGTCCACACACCATGCGCTGCGTTATTCCGTGCTAATGGCCGTATGCCTTCCTCAAGAAAGCCAGCACACAATGTTTTGAAGGCAGTAGCGCGAATCATGATTTTGCCATCGAGATCATTGAAAACTAGAAAAGAAAAACTTATAAAAAAGCTTGTGAAAAAA